TAGATCTTGCAAAATGCTACTCTTACATTTCTTTTTATTAATCAATTGCTTTTGGATGTATGCTATATTAGTGCGAGGTTTCCTTTGCTTGGCCCTGACTCAGTTTCTGATGGAGATTAAGGTTACTTGTACCTTTAAATCAAGATTGATTCATTCTCTTTATTCTTGCTGATCAGTTTTGGATTTTTTTCATTTGAAATGTGATTCACATGCTAATGTTCGGCAATCTTCATCAAACAAGAGTGTGATAGAACTGCAAAACAGGAGGCTAAAAAGTTACTTTGCCTTTCTCTGAATATCTTGAATTCAATTGCATACTTAAACAAACAAAAAACTGCTTAATACTGTTTGTGATTAAGCTTTGAAGGAATTTTTCCAAAGGAATGGTGAATTTTCTTTGCAGTATGGTCTTCAAAGTCAAGACGGGATGCATTTGTAAACCGACAGACAAAGGAGTTCAAAGAGGAATTCTTAGCTGAAGTAGTTCCCGTTGCTTAGACAGGGCATGCAGCTAGATAATAGTGCTTCTCCTGGGCCTTAAAACCAAGAGTCTTTTTTTTTTAATTCATATTTTAAATTACACTTGATGCATATTTTTAAACATAACTTGATAGTCTAGAGTAACCGCTTATAATATATGAGTTGAAAATAGTTTTCACCTAAATATGATGTAAGACATGTGGAAGTGCAGTTGGCTGAGCATAGAAGTGCAGGTCTTTTATACAGAGAGAACGTGATGTGTTACAAAAATAAATATGCCAAAATATATGCCAGTAATGCATCCTTGAGGTATAGTATTAGGTCTCATTAAATACATGCCTTGAAAAAAAAAAAAAAAAGAAAGGAATTTTTCTAAGGTTTCAAAGGAATTGCTATGGAAATTATTCTGCCAGAAATGAGAATTTTTCTCATTTGGTGAGTTTTTTCAGCCCTTGCTGTGGTACTGTATTTGCACAAGCAAAACCGAATATCTAATCTGTAAAAGAAACATGAATTGTTAACCTTTCTTGGGTAAATGTAGACAGATTTTTATTTGACTCTGGAAGGAAAAAGATTAGTATTAATAAACACTGAAATATTAAAACAAAACACTATTTCCATGAAATGACAAAAGAATTTGACATTATTTTCATAAATACAGTTGGAAGGTGATTCTCTGTATTTCAAAAATTTTCTTCAGAACAAAGAAATAGGAAAAATTGGAAAATGTCTAAGCATGTCAAGGGTTAGCTTACCACTTTGACTATGTATTATGGAAAGTTGGGGGGGTTTTAATGCTAATAATCTCTTAATTGTAGGAGGAGGAATTGGAGGCCCAGATTTCATTCCTACAAGGACAACTAAATGACTTGGAAGCCATGTGCAAATATTGTGCGAAGATGATGAACACACATCTTGGTAAGTGCAGTACCCTGTATTAACCTGTAAATCTTTGCGAAGGCTCTTTTCATGTTTGTATTAGAACTAAAATAATATTTATGTAGTACAGTGCATATTATTTTATAAACCATGAAGAAGAATTGAATTGATGTACCCAGTTCTTCTATCAGATGCTGCCAACCACCGTATCTTTATACTGTCATACTTTTAAACTTGGGAGTATGATAGCCACTGATGATGCTAAATGAAAAGTAGGCATTTTGGCACAGATGCCTTTTGTCTGTTCCTACGATTTCTTGTATTGTAAGAGACATGCTGGAGCTCACGGCATGTAAGCTCACACTTTTTAAACCCATTTGCAGCTCAACAGTCACAGAAAGATAGTTGATGCATGCAGTGATCGTTGTGTAAAATTCATATCCTTTCGTTAAATGTGGCATCTTCACAATCTATGATCACCTTTGGTATGTAAAAATGTGTTACTATTGGCTGACTAGTTTGTAATATTTTGCTCAGACCAGGAGAAATATAGTAAGATAGAAGTCAATAAATTGGGAACAGAATCAGCAAAGACTCCAATCTAAAATTCAACTTATGTATTGCCAAGACAAATCAGAGAAAGTGGAGAAAAAACTTCAATCAATTCAGGTGTAAATATGCTTAGCTATGCTTTGATAAAAGCAGCATTTTTAAACTGTGTTGAACTGAACTCCAAAAGTTGGTAAATTTAGTTATGTGAAAAAGCACTGTTGTTAAGAAATCAGGGCACAACTACAGTAATTTTAAGGTTTATTTATAACCTGCAACAGCTAAACAAAATAAAGTTGAATATTTCAGTGGGTAGAACTAAGTATATGATACCTAAGTTTGCCAGGTCAAACAGATCAGATGTGAAAGCCATATTATACTTATATTTTCATTTTCTTTTATGTGAGTGTTTTAGTAGCCAGTTATGAGCCTAGGAAAAGCTATAAATATTGTGTTATTTGAAAGTTTGGGCTCACAACCTTCAAAAGCCAAGTGTAAACCTCTAACCCCAACAGCTTTAGTCTGATATATTGTATTGCTTCTGTGAGGGTACATAGGCAGTGATGAGACTAGAAGCAAGCAAAAGGTATAAATTATTAGCTACTGAAATGATGGGGAAAAGATTACTGTGTCAAGGAGAGCAGCTGAAGTTTCTTTCCTTTAGGAAAGAAGATGAGGAGTGTTTAGCAGGGTCATCAGTTCAAGTACAAGGATAAGCGTTTCACCAGCTATGGCTCTGGACTAGAGATCAGAATAAACGCAAAGATACTTGAAGTAGTCCGCTTTTCGGCACTGGATCCATGAAATGAAAGCAAATTATTTGGGATCATAGCCAGGTATTAAATTCTTTTTCCCAAAGATACTAGAAACAAAAACAAGTGGGGCCAGTAGTCTCCCAAGAGCATCATGGAGCGGTGTGTTACCCTCACAGGACAGGGAAAGCCATCCCCTATACATCTGTGGCTATGGGGGTGCAGCGGGTGCGTCGTGGCACCCTTGCAGCGCTCTCAGAGCCTTCCAGCCTGGTTTCTTCTAAGTCCTGCTCCCTGTACTTCTTCACAATATTCCTGCATGTCTTGTCAACGTCATCCACTATTAACTTTGTAAATTTGGGTTACACTAATGCACTTAAATGCTATAGAGATTAACCGTTATGCCCGATAAACAGAACACATGAGAGACTGAGGTACCACCAATCCTCAGCTTCTGCGCTTGTAGCAAACTCATGAGGTTAGGTATCCCCAAATCAGCCAGCAAATGATCGATGGGATGGCAGGAAAAAATCCCACCAGGATTCTTGCTGGTCTGACCTGTGCAGAATCCCTTTTGACCTGAAATCTGTCCATCACGTTCACCCTGGTGTTCTGAGCAGCACATGCCAGGGGGCTGTCCAAGAAAATGGATTGTCTATAGCATCGCAGAACAGACCATGAGAGTTATCTCCAGTGTCCGTCAACTGCTCGGGGCTTCAGGGAATGGCAGCAAAGTAAAACTCAGAGTATATCTGGTCATTTCTGGATTAAGGGAAAAGTTAGCAGGAGCTGCTACTGCACCTGGTCTGATTCTCCCCCAGGTATTATATTTACCCATGAAAATTGCTTCTATTTCAGAGATTGCAAAGCAGATAATGGTGAGTTATATCACTCCTCTTGCAATCTGTCAGGACACTTAACTTCAAGGATGTTACTTCTTCCTGTGAGGCTGAATTTTTCTAAGTTCATCACCCAGCTTTTGGCTCCTGTAGCACTCTTGAGAGCAAGATTGAAAATCCTCATTTAACTTACCTATACACAGTGATTAAGTAATCTCTCAACACTGTCTTTGCTAGGTAGGGGACTTTAAGATTCATTTTATATGGGTTGCTTTTTACACTCGATCATTTTTGTGGTCTTCCTTTGAATTCTTCAGGCTTTTCATACACCTTTTGAAGTGGGTTGATCAGATCAGGGTACCAGCACTGGGCTCAGCAGGGTGGTTACTTAGCAAAGAGAAGGCCACCTCTCTACTCTTACGTGGCATTCCTCTTTTTAAAAATTTTTAATGCAGCATCACATTAGTGCTCTTTGATACAGTGATAGGTTGAGGTGATAATGCATTATGACCTTTAAAATTTGGTGAATCACAGCTTTCTAAACAGGGCATTTTATCCTGTAGGTAAAATCAGGAAATGTTTATTTCCGTATGTGTTCCTTGCATTTGATTATATTAAAATTCACTTCTTGTCATTTGCCTTTTTAGCTGAATAATTCAAGTAACTCTGCAATGTACTCTGTTTTCTTCTACGTCTCTAACTGCAGACTTAGCAATCATACATTTAATAGTTGTCTAAATTATTGATAAAAACATACAGATATATAAAACCTGAGGAGCCTTACAGAACTAATTTCTTTAACAAAGAGTTAAACAACATTTTTAAGATTATCAATAAGTCATTTTTTTTAGTCTAAGGACTGCCTTTTAAATTTAATGAAGTTTAAGATTCTTAGTTTTAAAAACCCACATTTTTTTAGATTGACATTTTAAACAGGTTTTTTCAGACTTTATTACTCAACCAATATTCTTTTTCCTGTATTGACTGCATTATATTTGCAGGTCAGTTTTTAACAAAACAATATTAATTCAAGCTTATAAAAATGCATATCCAGTGAACATTCACCACAGAATTATTTCATTGGCACTATAAATCAGAATGTCTAACAATTACAGAATGTTCCTCTTATGGTTTCCAGTGAGACAATTCAGAATTTTTTGGCTGTCTTTTCTCAGGTTCTTTCCCTTACAAGGGGGATCCTGATGACAATCAGCTGCAGTTACTTCATGACAGAGATGATGTGTTGTAGTTGAGAAATGATCAAAATGACCACAAAGTCTTCTGTTCTGTTTTGAATCCCTGGTAATTTATAATCTATTTATATCAAATCCAGTCATACCAAGTATATTTTTTATATGATGTCTTTTTAGAAAATAATTTTGTTTATTTAAAAATTTCTCGTCTTTGCCCTATAATGATATTACATTTCTTTGCATAGAGCATGAGGAAAGACCAGAGGGATAGAACGGCAGTTTTTATTTTGTTCATATATTCAAAGATGCTTTCATTAAAGGTTTATCTCCTTCCGTAAATAAACCACACAGTGTACCACACAGCAACGACATAATTAACTGCTTGTAATATCAGGGGACGTTACCATGGGAATGAATGATGGTTCCAAAATATTACTACTTAGCGCTCTGTGTAGACATTAGAAATAGGTTTCCGATTATGAAAAGGGAGGAAAGACATTCTGTGATCTTCATCTCCTTCTTAGGGCTGTGCATTAGAAAGGGCTTTACTTTTCTTCCCTCTCTGCCTTAACCACTGAAGAACTGCTAGGGTGGAATGCCTTTTAGTGCCTCCAAGGACAAATGTTGAAATTTTTATATGTAAAATGGCCAGACAGGAAAGCAGATTTTGCTTCTGTTCACATCCTTTTTCACAAGCTTGTCATGGCTTTCAAAAAAAAAATAATACTGTGTTCAATTTTTCCATTAATGAAATGAAGATACATCCCATCTTGTAAGCCTATCCTGCAGCTTTGTTGGCAATATAAATGCGGAATATTACTCAGCTGATAGTGAAAAAGTATAGTTGCTATAGCTATTACTGCTCCAGCATCATCAGAGATACATTTTCTTGATGTTACTTTTTCACATACACTGGCCTTTTTCAGGAAATAATATTGTCCCTGGTGCATTCAGTAATATGGTAATGTTCTTCAGCATTTTTCTTTCTGTGAGGTTCTTTTCTGTTAGTGCACATAAATACCTCAAGGCTCAATGATTCAGAAAGCCATAATATACCAGTTAAGTATTACAACGTTATAACCTGTCATAATGTTATTTACTTTTTGAAGAATTTTGATTGTTTCCTTCTTTCTTTCACTGTGTGGAAAGAAAAGCATCAAGCTTGCAAGTGCACTCAGAAGAAAATTTTCCCTGGTAAATGTGATCTCTGTCTGATGTCTTAGAGCAGATCATGAATAATTTGTCTAAGAGACATGCACCCAAACATCACTCAGAGGGCCCCCACAGTATCTGCTGGAAGGCTTCTCACTTGTCCTTCACATTTGACATGGAACTGAGTTTGAGGTGTTAGTTCAACATGAAGTCAGTCTGGAGGGTCTAGAGGAGTAAAGCTTCATTACGTCCCAGGCTCAAGCCAAGACAGCGCTGTTAAATGGCAGTTCACATGACACCAGTTAATGACACACTATCTGACACCGTCTGCTATTCTAGTATCTTTAGGGTTTGGACCATGTCGGCACTGGCCCAGGATTAAAGCACTGCCTCTTAACAAAAAGTAAGTGAAAACCCTGGAGAAGTATCAGTCCTCCATGGGCAAGTACTAATATGAGAGATTGTGAAGGATGTTTATGAGCTTGCCAGTTTTGTTCCAGAGAGAAAAATGCTGAATTTTAAAATGTCATCTGTTTATAAGGGACAGGAACAAA